ACCAGTGTTTGACACATTCTTTCCCAAGTCTAGACCTGAGTAAGCAAAATCACACCTACATGTGAATCTTCCTCCCCCTTTTAATAAATAGTGTTGGCCTAATCAAAAAGTCCAAGTTTGTACCCACCAGCCACTGCACAGGAGAAAGGTAAAGTGATGTGCTCTCGTAAAGATTTATAACCCTGGAAACCCTATACAGAAGTTCTAGTCTGGTATAGGGTAGCTGTGAGTTGAAATTGACAGAATGCAGACGGTGGGTTTTGTTTTAAATCACACAAGTGGAAGCATCTTATACATATACTCCTCTGGTTTCCCCTCCACATTATCTTGGAAAGGACCCCTTAACAGTAAAAATAGAGGTGGTGTATACATAGACCACAACTCAGTTGAGTTAAATATCTCATTAACAAAATAAAGTTTTCATTTTTATTATCAGTACTTTTATAAATCCCATCTTTGTCTTTGGGGGTTGGAAACACTACATTATCTATTAACAATAACAGAAAGTAAAAACAGATGATTTTAAGTGCAGTTTATCTTAACTCATATACGTCCTAAGTAGAGGACATTTTGTGGCTGTGTGATGTTTTGAACCAGTTCCTGACTGATGATAAAACATTGAGACACCAGACTATTCCCTGTCTTAGGATTGTACATTTGTTATTTAGCACACTGAGAAATTCCCAGATCAATTCATAGAAGTAGAATTTTGCTGGGTCAAAGGGTATGCATGTGCCTTGGTAATTCTGCTAAACAGGTTGTCCCAATTCATACTCGCAAGGTCAACGTATGTGTGTGCTTGTTTCCTTAACCCTTACCAAGCCAGGTGCTATCAACTTGCTATCAAACCACTTCCAGAACCCCACCAATGAGCTACAGGGAGAAGGATTCCAATGTGAGGTAAATCTCTCTGTTTAGTGCCATTGAGTTGGTTCCAACATAGTGACCCTAGCAGTTTTCAAGGAGCTGCTGCTGGGTTTAAACCGTCAACTTTGTGGCTACCAGTCCAGTGTTTATTCCACAGCACCACACCAGGACTCCCGGCAGGAGTGGAAATTTGACCTAGACCATGATGGGCAGGCAGGATTTGAGCGAAGGGGAAGGAGTTCCTGGGCTTGATCAGTGGTATTATTTCTTCTTTTGAAGACAGAAAGACAATGCTCAAGGAAAACCGCTTAGAGAGTTCCAACACATGGTCCTAGCTTGGATGGAATGAAGAGTCAAAGGCAAGAACACTGAGTGTAGAGAACTTCCAGTTCTGGCATTAGCCCAGTGATCTTCAGAATCTAGTTTATGTGGACTTCCATCTCCTCACATGCAAAGAAGGGACTTTAACCCTGAAACCAAACTTCCTATAGCTGCAGAACTGTGTTCAAACTAACTTTGGGGATAAAGACTAATAATGGAGCAGGGCGGGGTGCAGCATAGCCCATGCTCTAGTTACTTCTTCCTGACAAGATCCAGGAGGCTGCACGAAACCCTTCAGGTGAGCAAAGTGCAGTTTGAAAGGAAAGAGACCCAGGCAGCTACAGTCCCTCCCTTTCAAAATTCTATAAACCACTCTGATTTCTCCTCAGTCCTGAGTGCTGGTCCTGTACCTCACTTCCATTCAGACTGCCTACTGTTGATTCACTCATTTAATGTGTATTCACTGAGTACCCACTATAGGCCTGCACTATTCTAGGAGCTGTGGAGACAAGATGGTGGTCAACAGTGTAAAGATTCTTCCCTCTGTGGTTCGATTTCTCAGAAGGACCCAGAGCACATGTGTCTGAACACTGAGGGTGTATATACTGAGGCAGGTAAGATGATTTCCCCGATGTCCACTCTTCCTCCTGCTGTAGCTCTTCCACACAGCCTTTTCAGATCTATGTCCCCACGGATCATTTGTTCTCTGATCTCCCAAAGTACATGGACTGTACAGAAGTCTCTGCTTTAATTTCGGACTACTTGGAGTCCTGGTGTGGCACTGTGGGTTAATGCGTCAGACTGCAAAGTCGTCTGAACTGCAAGGTCAGTGGTTCAAGCTCACCAGCTGCTCCTTGGAAACCCTATACAGGGTTGCTATGGGTCGGAATCAACTCAACAGCAGCACCACCACCACCCCATACAGACTAAGCAGGTCACCCACACCCAAAGACCACTATGACAATACTGCCATTTTAACAACTTCAAGTGTGTTCTAAAAGTTTTCTTCTTTATCACCACACTGTGAACTACAACTTTCAAATAAAATTGCATTGAAGAACAGAATCAAATGAACTCCACAGAATCAAAACTGGACAGGTATTTGCAATACAAGCGAACCCTAAGTTACACATTAACTCATCAAGGCCAAATCCTTGGGGTCAAATCTAATGAGTGTCAGGGTAACCGTCTGCACTAGAAGAACAGGCACATGGCGACCCGAGGAAGAAGGGCCATCCCAGGGTCCCTGTCCCTTCAGGTCTCCCTCTTACCTCCTTGCTGGTTTCCTGGGATCCCCTGCTCTCAGGCTGTCCTCCTACTACCCACCATAAGCAGTACCAACCACATTCTGTTGCTATCACTGCCAGTCTTAACAACCTGCAAGGGCACTCTCGGCTCCTGCCAGGCAGAACACCCTGCCCCTCCCCATATAGCAGAGCCATGTGCTCACTAGAGTTCCTTTTTAAATGTCAAAGATCTAGGAATCCCTATATTGTACTTTTCTAGTATCCACAATTGAGCATAGACAAAAGCTACTACGAATTCAGTACACTTTACCATAAATACGTATTTTAATGATGAGCACTGAAAAACAAAACCACACACATAAGCAAGTACAAAGGGGCTTTAAACAGTCTGGAAAAACGTAATGAAATCCACTTTCCAAAACATGGTGTGAAAGTTGTTTGCCAGTGCTCCTGTGTGCTCACCGGAGGTAATAGCAATAATGGCTGACATCTTATGGAGCTAGTATGCTTTAAGCACATGACCTGAATGAACTCGTCTAATCCTGTGAGATAATTTTACTCATTGCACATAGGAGGAAACAGGCACAAGGAGTACAGAACTCGTCCCACGAGTCAACAGAAACAAGATTTGAATCTAAAGCGTGTATGCTCTTAGTCACAGTTCCTGTTGCAGTTCTCCTTGGGTGATCTATTCTCTCTCACTACCCACTCACCCCAAACATTGTCCTACTCAGAGAACCATCAACTCAGTCCATTTGCAAGCGGTGCCTCTGGAGGCACCTGTCTTAACTGCTGTTGTCCTGAGTCCTTGGGGCCAACAGTACCTGTTGTCCTCTTGAAGGCCAAATGGGGATGGCCACCCCAGGTACCAGGCCTCTGAGGCTCTCCCACAACCTGCCTCACAGGGTTCTGTTCATACCTACAGTGCCCACTTTAGCCTGTGGGCAGGAATACAGTGCAACATTTATGACTCCAGCAAAACCAAATGTGCCATGTCCTCTGCTGGTGAGTGATACAGCATACACACCTACAAGTCAAGGTTGGATAAGCAGTCCCATTGTTTGGCCAGCACCACTTTGTCATATGCCAACAACGTAATTTGAACGTCTTCAGGCAGAGCACCTAGCCCTGGTGTGTGGTCTACCTGCTTAGCTACTGTCTTGTGACCTTCTAGCACTTAGGCTATTTGCCTGACCTAGAGAGTACCTGAGTCATACACTACACATTCCTCATTCTTTTTCTATCATCAGTTTTCCACATACAGCAAATTCTGACTAGAAAATGATACCAAAAGAAATCAAAGGGCAATACAGACTCCATTTGAATTTATCAAAAACAAAATACACATTCACTTCTAAGATTATAAAGTTTCCTATATAATTTCAAAGGTAGAACTATCCCTAAAATTGGGAGTAACTTCAAATTAGAGCACAATTAAAGTTTAAGATGGTTCTAGGATTAAGGTCCCTAAGCTTCTCAGGAAGAAAGAAAAAAAGCCTAAATCATGACTGCCCATGGGGACATTTGAGCCAGCTGCTGCCACTGTCACCCCTACAAAAGCCATGGAGCTCACACTTCTAAGTAGGGAACAGTCACTATTGGGAGGGCCACTCCCAATGATTTCTGGGAAGAGGTCAGAGACTCTGTTTTAAAAGATTTACCTGTAACTTTCAAAAGCAAAACCAGGCATTTAGTTTTTTTAAAATTATTTCTGTTCAGCTTACTTCAACACTGCTCAAGTTCAAGGAATAAACACTAAAACCAAATGGAAGGGACTGCTGCCTGAACACGTGGTGACTGACCATGACAAATGACAGCATCCCTCAGTTCCAAAGCCTTAAGCTCTCTACATATGCAGGAACAAGATCAGTGGTTGTCATATCATGTAACTGTCCACTGTTAGGCTCTCTAAACCAAAGCAGCACATAACTTTCTATACAATAAGAGCAGAGTATTATTTATGAATGGATATAAAATAAGATGGGGCAAAGAGTAATCAGCATGCTATGGGGGGAGGAATTAAGCCAAATGTCTGAAGTATGAATCATCTAGTAAGCATGAAAACCGAAAGCTGCATTGTTTTTTCAACTGAGATAGTCTACCATCAACCACTTCCCACAAATGACCATTTTAGCCCTCACTGAGTTGCTGAAACTATGTAGCAAATTAAACTTTTGCTTTCTTACTTACATTTTTAAAGTTTAAGTATTTAAAGATGCTCCAAGGAAAGTTCTCTTGTGAAACATTTGATCTTTTCTCAATGAAAATATAGACCTATCCAAAGGAATGCCAAAAAAGTTCATGGAAAATTTCACCCTTTTTTAATCCCACTTTTCCACAATCTTTATGAAGCTCCCTCATATATTCCAGTGTACTGGGATTCTTATGAAGGGACCACATGCACACAGCTGAAATGTACATGAACAAGCCACCTTTGCTCTCCTTCTTTGGGAGCCCTGCTGCACAGATCCAGACTTCAGTGCCAGGCATTACATTTCCAATATCAAATGAAAGAAAGATGTTAAGATGTTAAGAGTCAAGTGGTTAGGATGTCATAATACTTACTGCTGGTTCAACCTGACTTCGATCTGCAATATCTATGTGGACAATTTCAACAGTTTTCCATGTGTTGGGATCTAAACCATGTACCTACAAATAACAAGGGAAAAAAAAAACACACAAAACAGTGACTTATTCTCAGTAAGCAAAACGCTTTCACTCCCATATTATGTATCTTTATCTTGCATCTCTCAGATTTGTTGTTGTTAAGTATCGTGGAGTCGGTTCAAACTCATAGTGACCCTGCAGCACAGGGTTTCCGAGGCTGTAAATCTTTACAGGAGCAGAAAACCTCACCTTTCTCCTGCAGAACAGCTGGTAGTTTCGGACTGCTGACCTTTTGAGGTTAGCAGCCCGATTTGTAACCACTACGCTACCAGAGTTCATCTCTCAGAGTACACTATGGGAAATAAAAAAAAAATTCAAATTACTATTTCATTAAATCAGCTAGCTGTATGAGACCTTAAGGGTTTCATACCTCTTCTGTGACCCCTAATCACCTCAAATAATAGGTGGGGAGGAGACGGTTGCCAAATGAACAGGTAGTCCTTAAGAAAAGAAATGATTTACATATACCCAATGTGCCTGGCCTAAGCAGCTCTGGGAGTGTAGTGGTTACGAATCAGGCTGCTAACCTCACAATCGGCAGTTAGAAACTACCAGCAGTTCCGCGGGAAAAAGATGAGGCTTTCTGCTTCTGTAAAGATTTATAGCCCTGGAAACCCTGTGCAGGGTCACTATGAGTCGGAACCAATCCCACGGTACTTAACAACAACAATGTGCCCGGCCTGGTGTGGCACTGTGCGTTAATGCGCTCCACTGCCAAGACTGGGTTGAACCATAAGGTCGGTGGTTCAAGTTCACCAGCCACTCCTTGGAAACCCTAAGCAGGGAGGCTCTGAGTTGAAAACCAATTGGATTGCACTTAACAACAATGTGCCTGATAAAGTCCTTGTACGCTACTGCTTTTAAGTGCCATCGAGTTGTTTCCTACTCATAAGAGACCTTGTATAGGGTTTCCTATTGGTTTCAAGAAGTGGCTAGTGAGTTTGAACCAATGAATTTACAGTTAGCAGTCCAGTGTTTATCCTACAATGCTACACCAGGACTCCTCCCAGTCCTATGTAAACACAAGGTGGTTATTGTAGTTAAGTGCTGTCGATTCTGACCCTAGCAACCCTGTATAGGGTTTCCAAGGAGCAGCTGGTAAGCTTGAACCACCGACCTTGCAGTTCAAACGACTTTGCAGTCTGACGCATTAGCCCACAGCACCACATCAGAACACCAAACAAGAGATAGTGTCATTATAACTAGACTTCATGAAGCTGCACTAAAAGACCTAACACTTTTCCTGAAGGGTATTACACTAGAGTTACTCAGCTTTGGTATGATGTTCATTCTCCTCTATGCTCCATGCTGTTCAATCGTTTACTTCTGAAACTCCATCTAAGAGCCAATTAAGAATTGTTTATGCCCCTTTGGAGACTGAAAATGGTAGGTTAAAACCTACACAAAGCAAACCAAACCACCTCATTTACATCTCAAATTTTAAAGAGTTACTAACTAGGAAAAGCAATAAAAAATATCAAATGATCACTGAAAAGAAAAACTCAAGTACAATAAATTATATACTTCAGAAGTTGTATTAATTGGTATCAATAACACAAATTCAGAGAAATCAGTGTAAAATAGTAATTAAAATACAACTATTACTCTGGTAGCGTAGTGGTTACGAATCAGGCTGCTAATCTTAAGGTCGGCAGTTCGAAAGGACCAGCTCAGCTGTCGCATGGGAGAAAGATGAGGCTTTCTGCTCCCATAAAGATTTACAGCCTCGGAAACCAGTATAGGGTCACTATGAGTCGGAACCGACTCTATAGTACTTAACAACAACATTATCATCAGACAACAGTGCGAATAAATCCTATTAGAAGTATCAATAACTTGCTCTCCTCCAACAGCATATCTTAAGGTTGAAACAGTACTTCTTAACGGAAGTGTACACCAGAAAACCCTGGTGGGCTTGTTAAGTCATAATTTCTGTGACCCACCTTTAGAAATTCTGATTCACTAGCGTATGGGGAGGAACCTGGTATTTTACGTTTCTAACAAGTTCCCAGATGATGCTGATACCAGTGCTGCTGGCCCAGAGACCACAGTTTTGAGGACCACTGAGCGAAGAGCAAAGAAGCAGTGGTTAAGCACTTGGCTGCTAATCAAAAAGTTAGTGGTTTGAAGCCACCAGCTGCTTCACAGGAAAAAGATGCAGCAGGCAGTCTGCTCCTATAAAGATGGCAGCCTTGGAAACTCTACAGGGTCACTCAGATAAGACCATTAATCTCTAACAGCTGCCCTCCGAAGGCCCAATAAACAGAAACTCTTACAAAATAGTAACTATGTTTCTTTGAGTCATAGCTGACTTAAAAAAATTACTTTAGGGATAAATGTGTACCAGTTTATAATAATTTAAATTTAGAGGTTCCAGAAACTTTCTTCTCCCTTCTGACTTTCGGTTATTTCTCTGACAACAGATATTTCAGCAAAGAGGGACAGAATTAAAAAGTACTTATTCTGCTATGGAAAGCAGCTCTGGCACATACAGAAGAAATGACAGCAATCTCAAAGTAAAGGCTATCAATGGGCTGGGTATTATCTGTGCATTTTATTTATCTGTGCTCTCCTGTTCCACTTACTAGGAATAAAGAGAGTAGTTGATAGAAACAGCAAGCCCTCACACATGTCCACTTAAGAGTCATGACCTACGGGACTGATAAGGGAAAGCCTGTCTGTTTCTGGTTCTAGAAGGTTTACTTACCTCACCTCAATCCCACACAGCCTGGTGTGGTCAAGTGCTAGTCTAACTCCCTTGACATCACTTTGGGGATGGCAAAGTGGACTTACAGTACTTCCATTCCCAGGGGAAGAGCCAAAACTTACATTTTCTAATGTTCCCAAATCTGGTTTGTGCCATGTTTCAATTTTAATGAAGAAGTCGTCTTTCATATATTCATTCTGCAGAAAACACAAGAACAAAATGAGAATAATCTTTCACCAGACTCTCTGGGGCCCATGTCTGAGTGAGCCTCCCCCCTACACTAGCATCCATGCTCGGGCTCTACCAGCAAACTGGTCCCCAAGAGACAAAGCAATCTATTTTTATAGACTTGTCGGGAAACCCAAACGCAGCATACGGCTGTAAATAATTTAAACAATCCTGCTTGTCATGCAGCACTCGGGGTTATATATATAAAAAAACGTTGTGAGGTTTGTTGAGCAAATTTGGCATTCAAAAACAGCAGCAGAAGCAAACTAAAATCAACAGGAGATTTGGGAGAAAAGGTGGGAAGGAACGGGGAATACTAGAAACATGGTGGGTGTGGACTAGTGAAATGAGCACAGGAAGACGAACCAGGCAGCAGTGGGCGTTTTTCATAAATAAGCAAGTAATGGTTGGAAACAGCAATTGTAAAATCAAAGTTCTAAATCGAACACAGAGTTTATAACACAAAAAGTGTTTTACTCACCGTTACAACTGAGGCACAATGTAGAGCAGGAAATGAAAAAGGAGAAATTTCAGAATATTAATTTGAGTCAAAACAATCTGCCCCAGTATTTACTGTCATACAGATAAAACTACCAGGGAACATGCAACAGTCAGGAGTTCACTCTACAAACACAGTTTACTATAAACAAGGGATGTGATACTTCATTTGGATTATGGAGAACAAACCGAATGTGAAGAATAGACTAATTTGCAAATAATGTTCGAAGGGCTATCCCAAAAGCAAATCATCATTTTTAAGGTACTCCTGGCTAACGATCGGTACTCCTTTCTTCCTCTGCTAGTCTATCAGTCTTCCTCAATTATGTGACAAAAGAAATAGAAATACTGTTGAGACTACACCAAAAGACACTGCTAAGTGAGTGTAGGCAGCATCGTCAGCAGGGACTTCAATGTGGCATGTGGCCTTTATGAAAGGTCTGGGAGGAGGAACCAATGAAAGTTCCTCCTCTGCCACCACCTGGGAGCGACATTCCAGGAGTGGCGGGTGACCGTGTCTGTGAAACCCTCCTCAAAGACATGGGCACCAGTAATAGTCCCTCCCTCGATTGTTAAGTGCCATCGAGCCAGTTCTGACTCAGAGTGACCCTGTAAAATAGGGCTTCTGAAGAGCGGCTGGTAAGTTTGAACCACCAACCTTGTGGTTCAAACTGGATTTGCGGTCCAGTGCAAATACCAGGTCCACAGCGCCATATCAGGACTCCTCCTTCAATAGTGGGTCCAAATCCAAACCCAATGCTGTCAAATCAAATTCCAACACACAGCGACCCAAGAGAAAGACTACAGTGACCCATGGGGTTTCCAAGCCTGTCATCTCTTTATGGTAGCAGACTGCCACAACTTCCTCCTGTGAAAACACTGGTAGGTTCAAAGCGCTGATCTCTCGGTTAGAAGCTGAGTGTTTCGCCACTGAGCCACAAAATTCCGTCATTAGTGGGGTATATGTAGGGGTGAAGCAGCTGCTGGGGACAGGCTTACTTGTTCTACAGTAGGGGTATGCATTCCAGGCTTTTTCATGAAACACCAAGGAGCCCTCAGGAGCAATCATCCGCACAAATGCTGGAACTTTACTGTGAGGAGGAAAACATTGAACATATTTTTAACAGTAACATCAACTGTTAATTAGCATCCATCAGACTCCTTCAGAGTCCTGTTATCGAAGGGGACCATCTGCCACACCTGATGAACTAGAATTCAAGACTACATCAACAGTTTTATTTTGAATCCCAAAGTAACCTACAGGAAAAAGCAGTGTTAGACACAATGACACAATTAAGAGTGTGTTTAACTGTACAGAGGGAAGATTTTAAAAACAGAAGCAATTCTTTCTTAGGGTTAGCTATCTTTTCATCTACTCTACTGATCTGATATCTAAGACACTGAAAACGGAGTTAACTCCATCAGTGCATTAATACAACATTAAAATTATCTCGGGTGATTAGACTTCACTGTTTGAGTACAAATTAGAAGCACCAGACAACTAAAGGTATAAGTTTTGTAACAAAAAGGGGAGTGTAGTTAATCTTAACAGTCCAGGAACAGAGGACTCTAGAACCATCAAAGGAGAAGAGCATGAGCGGAATGTGGGATCCTATCCAGCAAAGCAGTGACACCAAAGATAGAGACAGAGATGATGACACAGAGAGATAGAGCTGCTGAGGACCCTATAAACTCATGGGAAGAGAAAGGCTATGTGCTGGCAGCCAGGAGGCAGGCTTGCGGAGTGTGCCCTTTGGTTGTTTAAATGATTTTGCATTCCTGAGTGTTTTTGTGTACATCCCACACACACACACAGAAAAAAAACTGAGGGAAAAGAAGCAAATATTGTTGAATGATGATGCATGGAGGAGACTGTAATCACTGCAATGAAACAATGGGTGTAAAACCAATGTTTTCCCATGTAACTATCACTCAATTCACAATAAAAACTGAAAGAAATAAAAAACAGAAGTACTAGAATAAGGAAACTTCTCTTGAATCAAATTCTTTTAATGTATTTCACAGAACAAAACTACGACAATAAGGAATCTGCCAAAAAAAAAAAAAAGAGAGAGAGACTTTAAACTATTTCCATAATCTTGTAGGTATAGAAAAATGCCTCGAGCAGGATCAGAGGGGAGAATCCAAAACTCACTGCCTTTGAGTCAATTCTGACTCACGGTAACCCTACAGAACAAAGTAGAAATGCTTCCTACTGTTCCTAACACTGTAAATCTTTATGGGAGCAGACTGCCTCCTCTCTACCCCATAGCATGGTTGAAGGGTTTGAACTACCAACCTTGCAATTAGCAACCCAACACTTAAACCTACTGTGTTGCCAGGGCTCCTAGAGGGCAAAAAGGGTTAAATATATGACTGATTCATACCCAACTTGTACAAATTTATAAAATGATCACAAAAATTCCCCAAAACAGACCCTTCGACCTAGAGCCAGTGACATAGCCACCACAGAGGACTAGAGTGGAGAGTGAAGCATCCAGCTGATAAGAAGAGAGGGCATATGCACAAGAACACCCACACTTGCAGATAATACCCACTGGACCTGGCTTCAATGACTGGATGATCAGAGCTAAACTAGAAGAAGAAAGAGGAAAAAAAGAGTAATCCAATACAATTTGATGAACTTGACCTACACCTATGGATGCAGTAGCTCAAAAGAGGGAACAAACCTTTACAGCAAGGATCATTCCCAACCCCCTCTCCATACACAGAGTAGATAGGGATAGGCAACTTGGACATTGGCTACCCAAAATGGGGGGGGAGGGGGGGGGAAGGCTACAAAGGCAAGAAGTGACTGGCTTACAAACTTTCAAGAGGGAGCCTAGATCCAGAGGCATGGAGGAAGGCAGAATCTCCACTGAGTAATATATCCAATCTCTTGTGATACAATAGTGAATAACTCTTATCAGGACTGATAGTGAGAGTTGTAAATGTAAAGGTACACGTTTTGTAGCAAGGAGGGGAGTGATTAACTTTGCAGTCTAGGAGCAGAGGAAGGCCCTGGGACCATGAAGGGAGAAGAGCGGAGAGTGGGACCCTACCCAGAGAAGCAGTGATACCTGAGATGGAGGCGGAGTCGATGACGTGGAGCGATGGAGCAGCTGGGGACTTTAGACCCAGAGAGGGGCTGTGTGCTGACCACCGGGGGGGAGGGGCAAGTGGGCAGGCTTGTAGGATATACCTGGTGGTTGGGTGATGATGCATGGAGGGGACTGTAACCATGGCAATGAAACAATATATGATAGGATGAATGTTAAAACTAATGTTCTCCCATGTAAATGATCACATAATTCACAGTAAAACACTAAAAAAGAAATCCCCAAAGCAAACAGGCACTTTCCAAATACAAAATCCAACTGATTTAAGATGAACATGTTGCTGGTTCCAGGCTATAAATAAAAGTTTTACATGTACAGTCTCTTCACACAGACTTGGATTCAAATCCCAGCATTACCATCTGGAAGCAGTGTGTCCTTGGACACATTATTGGCCTTTCTAAGTTTCCTCATGTGTGAATGTAGTTCATATCATCTACTCTGAATAGTGCTGAAGATTAACAAATTTGGCAGCTAACTGAAAGGTGAAGGTTCCAGTGGCACCTGGAAAGATAGGCTTGATTATCTACTCCCAAAAGATCAGTCACTAAAAAACCCTTCAGGTCACTCTGACACATACATGGTCGCCATGAGTCAGAATTGACTCAATGACAACTACTTAGGATTACTGCAAGGAATGACTCAGATAATGACTGTAATGTGCTTAGCACACACCCAATACACTGAGAGGTCAGTAAATGGTAGTTACTGATTTTTCATTCTAAGCCAATATGGAACCGAGTACTTTCACATGCCTTTTTCTAAACTGAAATCCCTAACACTTTAGTGCTATCGAGTCAGTCAACTCCTAGCGATCCTATATAGAGTTTCCAAGGAGCAGCTAGTGACTCTGAACCAATGATCTTACAGTTCAAACCAACCTGTGGTCCAGTACTTTATCCCACAGTGTGATACCAGGATTCCAAAGCACTTTGTGACTATTGTTGTTAAGAGCCATTGAGTTGGTTCCAACCCATAGCAATCCTGTATAGGGTTTCCAAGGAGCAGATGGTGAGCCTCGTTGTTCAAAGCGCCTTTGCAGTCCAGTGCATTAGCACACAGCACCACATCAGACGAGGAGGCATTATATCATTATTGCATAAATCCATTATGTAAGTGGCTAAATAACTCTAAGTCAAAGATATATATATATATCCTTCAACTTTAAGCCCTATATGTATCGTACAGCCACTTCCCTGAGGACTATCCAGCACAACTTGACTTCCCAAACTAAGAGAAAAAACAAACTAAAGAAATTAGGAATTCAGAGAGGACTTTTTACCCCATAATAAGACTGAACACTTGGCAAAAGCTATTTTTGTGCTGAATTCTGGAGGCTAAACAAGTCCAAAAAATTTCTAGAACCAATATGGTTCTTTTCAACAAGGGTGAAGTCTAATCAGAATATATATAATACAAATAGATAAATTATAAGACAAGATACAGATGATGAGCTATCTCAGAATGTCATAAACATACTCATAACAGTTAATCAGTTTAGAAAAGGCAAGAGAAAAAAAATCTATGTACTAACTCAGAAATACATTTTAACTATTGTGTTGTTGCTAGAATACTAGAAGTTACTTGTCAGTTTGTCCTACTGTGGTGGTTAGCATGTTGCTATAATGCTGGAAGCTATGCCACTGGTATTTTAAATCCCATCATGGTCCCCCGTGGTAGAAAACTTTCAGTGGAACTTCCAGACTAAGACAGACTAAGAAGGAGAAAGAGACTACTTCTGAAAATGTAGTCATTGAAAACCTTATGAACAGCAGCAGGACACTTTAAGCTGCAGTGCTTGAAGATGAAACATTATGAAAAGCATGATAATATTGTCAGCATTGAGCTCAAATGTAACAACTGTGGGGACCACAGGACCAGACAATGCTTCATTCTGTTGTGCATGGGGTTGCTAAGTCAACTCTGACTCAATGGCACCTAACAACAACATACCATTAATATATGGAGCCCCAGTGGCACTATAGGTTGGCAGTTCAAACCTAACAGCTGCTCCACGGGAGAAAGATGGGGCTTTCTGAGAATGTAAGATTTATAGCCTCAGAAACCCTATACAAGGTCACTATGTGTTGGAATCAACGTGACGGTTTCCAACAACAATATACCATTAGTATTTCGAATACTAGCAGGATTATCCGTAGTGGACAGGTTTCAGCAGAGCTACCAGGCGACAGAGTAGGAAACAAGACCTGGCAATCTACTTTTGAAACTAGCCAATAAAAGCTTGTTGGGTAACAAATAGATCATGATGGTGGCAATATGACTAAGTTAACATTTCCTTCCTGTTGTTGTTGTGAAGTGTCTCGAGTCAGTTCCAACCTATAACGAACGACCCTGTACAGGGTTTCAGAGGAGCAGCTGGTGAGCTTGAACCATCGAGACCTTGCAGTTCAAAGAGCTTTGCAGTCTGGCACATTAACCCACAGTACCTATCTCTCATAAACATATCAGATTCACTGATCCAAACAATCAAAAGTTGTCAGTGAGTCATGAAGGACCAACAAGTCAAATTTACATAAGAGGTTCTGGATTGCTTCATGTTCCAAATGTCTAGGATCTTATTTCTACTATGCCAATTTCAGCAACTGATTTTATGTTTTAGATTAGTTAATATTAAACCTAAATCTTTTAGTTAGTTTTGTTTCAAATTTTCTGGCTTCTGCTATACATTTACTCTTGGTGTGGCACTGTAGGATAAGCTCTGGACTGCTAACCACAAAGTCAGTGGTTCATACCCACCAACCGCTCCGGCAAAACCCTATACAGGATCACCACGTGCAGAACCTACTCAATTGCATTTAACATACATTTATTATGAGAGCACTGTTGTTGCTGTTAAGTGTCATCGAGTCAGTTCCAACTTTTGGCAACTCTGTACAGGGTTTCCAAGGAGTGATTGGTGAGCTTTAATTGCTGACCTTCTGGGTCAAACCGACTTTGCAGTCCTGCACATTAAC